CTTTACTGTAAACATTATTCTTGCCAGTTTAAGTATGTTTGTTTTGTCTTATAAGAACACTTCTTATTCTTGACTGTAAACGTTTAGTCTTTTCAGTGTAGTTATGTTTGTTTGTACTCGCCATATAGGAACACTTCTAATTCTTGACTGTAAATGTATATTTTCCTTGTGTATTCATGTCTGTTTGTTTTGTCTTATAAGAACACTTCTAATTCTTTACTGTAAACATTATTCTTGCCAGTTTAAGTATGTTTGTTTTGTCTTATAAGAACACTTCTTATTCTTGACTGTAAACGTTTAGTCTTTTCAGTGTAGTTATGTTTGTTTGTACTCGCCATATAGGAACACTTCTAATTCTTGACAGTAAACGTTATTCTTGCCTGTTTATTTATGTTTGTTTTGTCTTATCGGAACACTTCTTATTCTTGACTGTAAACGTTTAGTCTTTTCAGTGTAGTTATGTTTGTTTGTACTCGCCATATAGGAACACTTCTAATTCTTGACTGTAAACATTATTCTTGCCAGTTTAGGTATGTTTGTTTTGTCTTATAAGAACACTTCTAATTTTTGACTGTAAACATTTATTGCTTGTTAGTCAAGAACTACTAGTTTTTTCCGATATAAGTATTTCTCATTCTTGACAGCAGGCGCAAATGTTTGCTAGTCTAGATCAGACTGATCAGACGGAAAGTTCTAAATCTTGAACGTTAATAGTATAGATTGAAACTATATCATGTCTAGTCTATCTGCGAAACAAAAACGGGGATATTTCTGTCATAAAATCCATTACTTATTAATTGAATGGATCGCACTAGCAGTATATCTATCTGAAAAATAACAACATATGTTTGTTTTTAACAGCTACAATTATTTATCTCTCAAAACACTGGTACTATAGCATGAATAAACGTTACCGATCAAAAATTAGGAGTATTTTTATACATCTGAAAAACCTGGCAAGAACGTAAACTTGTTAAGATCCCAGCAGTTATATCAATATATTAGATTATTTCCGCTTCGAAATGCTTTAAGAAGTATACTTAACGCTAAACGGAGCTTTATGTACAAGAGTTACATATACCTGTTACAGTAAATTAAAGGTTAACTTCGTTTTTACTGTTGTTAAATAAGTATCAACCTTTTAAAAACGATGAGACTTAACGAATTAGCACTACATGCAGTGAGGTCGTTATACACAGTTTATTACACACACATTTCGTGATCGTAAAAAAGTGAAATACAAGTACGTACACCTATATAACGAGACAATATCTTTTACTACACAATACTGGAATAAAACATTTTTTCAGTGTTATCAAGTAAAGAAGTCACCAGTTGGTTAAGAAATAGTTCAGTGTTACCTAATGTGTAACTGCTGGCATTTTGAAAGGCTTAGCTTTTTAGTTAATTTATATTTTTAGCAATAATAGTAAAGGATTTTAAATGAATCAACATTTTTGAAGTTAAAAGCATATTTTCAAACATTTTAATATAATTAAACAAATGGAAATCCTCAATAGCTGCGGCACTCGAAATTCTGTTAGGCAGGATTAGAGTAAATTAATCTACGAGCCCTTGACCGTGATCAAATACATGAACCGAAAAGGTTTGACCTCCTGAGTCCAAAACTGTAATTAGATCTCAAATCGGTCAACGAACGACGGAGCTATGCGTTAAAGTTTGTACTTGAAAAACTTGGAGCCATTCTATAAGCCGCGGCTACAAATTATCCCCCCCCCCTAGTGGCACAGCGGTATATCTGCGGACTTACAACGCTAGAATCCGGGTTTCGATACCAGTGGTGGGCAGAGCACAGATAGCCAATTGTGTAGCTTTGTGCTTAATTACAAACAAACAAACAAATTATCATGTAACTTTGTAATCATTTTCAAAAGTTGAGAGCGTTTTCCATTTTACCAAAAATAAATACGCCATTTACAAAGCAAAAGAATATTAGTTGAAATGCGCATACCCAGCAAGGACTTTGTTTCAATTTCTCTAAACTTGATGTGAAGTGTATTCCTTTTGGTGCCGCGACATTGCAGCTCATAGAATGGTTTTGAGTTTTTCAAGTACAAACTTTTAGCTCATAGCTCCGTCATCTAGTGACCAATTTGAGATCTAATTACAGTTTTAAACTCAGAAGGTCAAACCCTTTC